AGGTGTTCCATAGACTTCATTCTACTGCAGTATGAATTGTCCGAGAATCAAACAACGAGGATGACTTCTATAAACAATAGCATCCATATAATCATCTCAGAGAGGAACACTGTCAATTCTCTTAAAAATTACGGTAAGTGCTTCTTAAACATAATCTGACCACACAAGATATTTTGACACAACACCAGCGATGACATCTTAATTATTCCCAGAAACAGAATTTGTTTAAGCTGTTGAGATTTCATGACTAAATCCACATTTGAACAGAACAATCTGTGATCAAATGCAGAACTAACTGGCTAATCGGAATACCTGTGTTCGTCATCTCTTCATTTCCCTTTTTGTCTGTGAGTATATGAATATATTTTATATATATTGTTTATTACCTTTTTCTCATTTATTAGTAAGATATTTGATCAAGCTAAATTTCACTGCATGTTTATCTTCATCTTTTCATCTGTTTAATATGTATAGTATTCAATTGTACCTACTATTTAAAGAAGGTACACATTTTTAATGAAATGATGCAGTAACTGTAACAAGTTTTCAAACAAAATAGGGAGAAATTTGGCCAATGAACTTATGCATTAATATACCAATGACAAAGTCAACAAAACAACTTTAGCTTAATGAAGCAGCTTTGGTATATAGAACATGCTCGTGCAGTCTCACTGCTCAATTCTGTCATTTAGGAGTTAAATCACTTTGTTTATGCTGCCCTCATCACACCTTCCCGCAAGTACACAGCCTTCCTAAACACTTCCTGTAAATTGAGAGCTAATGTTTACATTTCCTATATTGCACACTCTGTTTGATTTTGAATTTATCTTCTGATCTGTTAGTAGTTTTTGTGATTATAGTCTCTTTAAGGTAACAAATGCACAAGCCATATTTAATAAAATTCGTAGGACCTTACAGTATCAATAATTTTATTATCAAGCTAAAAAACACCAGTAAGACATATAATACTATTTCCCCCCCAGAGTTCTAAATGGTAAAAACTGTTATTCAGTTACAAGAGTTAGCTTTGTCCCTTCAAATATAATCCCTTCCATAATCTTAGAAAATGATTTACAATACAGCATGGTTTATCGACATAAACAAAATTAAATGTTACTCTTCTGAGTTGGATCTAAATCCACAGAATCCACATTGTACAAACCATGTGTATTTGTTAAATTGCATCTTTTACGATTCCTAGCATAAGTAATAGACTTAAATATACACAAACTGAGGAATGTGATGCAGTGGTACCTCGGTTTACAAACGCCTCAGTTAACATAATTTTCGGTTTACAAATGAAAATCCATTGAAAATAATGCCTCGGTTTACAAATAGTTTTCGCAATACAAAGCAAGTTTCCCCAGGATGCATTGCGCCTGGGAGGTTTATAGCGCCGCTCCCATGCATGGTGGAGTTTGTGGGTAGCACGTGGCATCGAGTGTGGAGGTGTTGGAGCGGCTTTTGCATTGAGTTTTGGAGCCATTCTGGAAATGTTTTGTAGTGGTTTTTAGGACTTTTTGAAACTTTTTTGGTGCATTTCTCAAGCAGTGGAAAGGTAGAGAGCTGAGCTTTGTCGTTTGCATGACTTTTACTGTGTGTTCTGCATTGTGAGTTGGTTTCCATGCCAGCTCATTTTGACTTTTTTTCTGACCTCCAGAATGCATTAATCTGTTTTCAGTGCATTCCTATGGGAAACCGCGTTTCGGTTTACACATTTTTTACAATAAGAAACGTCCCGGAGAACGCATTAAATTAGTAAACCAAGATACCGCTGTACATACATTCACATACTTATAAAAAATTATCAGAGCTATGTAATATTTTGACAGCTGCATCAAACTTGCAGAGGGTTCTTTAACTCTCCCTACGATCTAGGAATGTTGCCCATTGGTGAATTAAGGGACTCCTATGCAATTGCATAAGCTGCTTATGTGGTAGTGCCACCTAAGGATCTTCAGACAGGCTTCAAACATGCTATCTTAACCAGGGACTCAAATGACTGGGGATAATCCTATAATCAGAATAAATGTGCAGGCTCTCCCGGCAGTTATGTAAACACATGGCTTTATTTATTTAACAATTTCAAATTTACCATTATGCTAATTGTCAACGACAGTGAATTTATTTTAAAGTATCCTGCATTTGCCAAGATGTATGTACCAGATACCAACTTGATCAAAATGGATTCTGGACAACATTATAAATTCGCTGTTTTATTTTAAATAGTCTAGTTGTTTCCATAATATTAAATTCAAGCATAGGCTTCTAAATGTCAATGAGTAAAAAGGAAAATGAAAGGATTGTAAAGTACATTATTCTAGAACTGTTTATAGGAATGTTAAATATTTATAAAACTTTATTTCACAAACCATTGCATCATTTCAAAAAGCAAACATGTGGTTAGATGTTGATAATTTACTTTATTACATCTGTAAACATATGTCTCCATTGTACATATTTTTTTTAAACAATAAATATTTTCTTCACTCCTTTTCTGGGAAAATCTGTTTTTTTTTTATTGTATAGTTAATAAATTGTCCATATGACATGTTATTGAATACAGCTCATCGTTTCATTTACATCCGTTGTGTGGCTCATTGATTAACCTGAGTGTATTTTAATTTTAATAATTTATATAAAGAAAAAAATGGACAAGAAAACACAGCAGTTCCAAAACCGATTAATAGCATTATATAAATGCAAAAATATTAACCTGCCTCTAGTAACTGTAAATATGACAGCCGCTAGAGGCGTTTCAGTAAAATAGCAGAGTCAAATTCTGCTATGTTATTCAGATGGTTTCAGAAAGACATGTGGACAAGCCTCACAATGCTTTCCTACGGAAAAAAAATTGGATTGGCTGAGATCATTGAGCTTGATGATCTCAGCCAATGAGGTGGAGCTTCAGCAAAGAGACCCGCACAGTGAGGGAGAAAATATCAGTTAACTACCTTTTTAACCCTGGCAGTGCTGTCTCAGTGACTTAAATGGTGACTGAGACACTATAGCGTTAGGAGTACATATTCCTAGTGTTATAGTATTTCTTCAAATACACCTAAAAGAAAACCGTGGCTAAGGTAGTGTAAACCAACATCGAGAGAATCATTTCGAGAGCTACATCAGTAATATAAATCATACCTCATAAACAGAACATGTAACGAAGGACAAAGAGAGAAGGGGGGAAAAAGTCAGTTACTTTTTAATAATATATATATATCATATAGAGAAATGTGATATGATCCGCATTCCTAGATTGTATCACATTTCTCCAAATGAAATTTTACCATATGTTTTTTTTTTCTGAATACATTTTAAACACTGCCCCAGCATGTTGGGTGCATCATTACTTGAACTAGTTGTGTAGTGCCTGTCTTGAATATCACTCCCAGACTACAAGGTTCTACATAGTCTGTGGGTTTGCTCTTGCCTGACGTTTCCGTTTGAGATTACCATTGCTCAATTCTTTTTTTTTTTTGGCAACAAGTTTCTGTCTAAGCAGTGAAGCAACTTAAATGTGTGAGGGAACCAAGAACTGGGTGAGAGGCTTCTTTTTGTAAAGGCTAGACAAGGAAGGAGGGGGTACCTAAAATATTAAACTAGACGGAAGTTAAACCAAGCACGGGATACATGTGATAGGAGATACCAATAGTATATAGCTCTTCTACAACATCCATCTCATCTTTCAATTCAAGGCCATTTAGTCTGGGCCAGCTTTTTGAGTGGCTCGGCAGCTTGTGAGTGAGACCAGTTGTATGTTTTATTTGCTCAAATTATATTATTATACTTTTCTCTACTTTTTGTCTTTTTAGGTTCATATTCTGTGTACAGATTGTGGTCATATTGTGTCCTCTCACCAATTTATATTTGTATTCCTGTAACAGCTCTTCTTAAAGAAATAAAGCCTTAATTAAATTTGAAAAATCGTAATTACCAGTTCCCGAAATGTGGACACATAGGTTGAACATAGTAGATAGTTTGCTAATGGGCAACATTAAAAAATATTGATACATGTATATCATTCTTTTTTTTTTTACTGAAGAAATGCTGCATGTGTGGAAGACATATTGAGTAGTAAGAACTATTCTGTTTTATTTAGATCTAACCATTTAAATTCAAATTTTATTTTAAAAACATTTGAGCAGAAAACATAGCCGATTCTGTCATTTTTTTGTTTGTTTCAAATTTGAAATGTACTGATGGTCAGTTCCTGGCAATTTTTGGCTTAGTGAATACGTGTGTTAGTATGACAAGAATAAAACAAGTTTGTATTACCTGGAGTTCTGCTATATTTACTCAAAAAATGTGGCCTGATCTTCTTCCATATCACAATAATAGCAAACCCATCAAATCAGAGTTTTTCTTTTTCTTGGTAGTACTGAACACATTGTTTAAACAGTTACAGTCTAGGTTATTTAAACCTCTAATGACTTCTTTTAAAAGATAATTTAAGTCAAGTGTTCCAACCAATGAGATGCAATGAGAGATGTACAATGATCAGCCATAACATTAAAACCACTGACAGGTGAAGTGAGTAACTGATTACATTATTACAATGGTAAATGTTACGGTGTGGGATCTATTAAGTCAGTTCTTGAATTCCATGTGTTGTAAGCAAGAAAAATGGGATAGATTTGACTGACTTTGGCATTGTCCAAGTAGCGATGTCTAAATTAATTGGTCAGAGGATCTACAAATGGCAAATCTAGATATGTTCCTGGTATGCGTTGGTTAATACCTAACAAAATTAGGGCACAATATGTTTGCAATAAGAAAATAAAACGCTATACTATGTCAAGTTATCTTACTATCATAGAGAAAACAAAGAGTCCAATATTGTATTGATGTATTTTTATATATTTTAAAGGGGAATGGCTTGAAGCTTAATAGAAATGTGTTAATATGATTGGGCAATATATCACACTAGGATAAAATCAACTAATATTTGTTCAAATTGTAAAAATGCACACTCTAAATCAGGCCCTTCCAACCTGCGTCACCCCCAGATGTTGCTGAACTACAACTCCCATGATTCTTTCAATGAAACAGGGAATCATGGGAGTTGTACTTCAGCAACATTTGGGGGCTGCAGGTAGGACAGCCCTGCTCTAATCTTGGAAAATTATTTACAATACAGCATGGTTTATCGACATAAACAAAATTAAATTGTACACAGTCACAGTACAGGCCTCAACCCAATTGTGGTGCTGTAGCATGCCCAGAAAAGATCAAATCATGGATGGAATTAAAGAAATATCAAAGAATTGAAACAGATTCCAAAATGCTTGGTGGAGATCATTACAGCTAAAGAAAGTCCTATGAGTTATTAAATAGAAGAATTTACATCATTTTTCCAACCCAGACTGTGAATGTTTAAACAACATGTTCGTCATTCGTCGTTGACTGGAAGTACAATTATTTATGTGTTATTATTTCAAGCAGACTGTATTTGTTTATAAGTGTGACTTAGAAGACGATCACAACTGAGTATCCCACCCGACTTCATTAAAATAAGAAAGCTGTACTGGATTCATTGTCTACTTACATAGAACATGGGTTGTCTTGCGAGAGAAGATCTACCAGATTTGAAACCCATGCATCGAATATTTTAACAGGAAATAAACAAAATAGTTTAAAAAAAATTTAATAACCTTTATTAAAGTTTTTTTCCGTTTTTCAACATTAAATACACATACATATAAACAACATTTATAAACACATATTTATTTTTTTCTATTTTTCTTTTTCCTTTTCTTAATATTTACATACATTTTTATCGTAAATTGAATTTGGTACCGCTGAGAAGAGAGAGAGAGAGACTCGATGTGTACGTAAATAATTTACTTGTTTTGCCTTATGGGCAGGGACGTGGCTCCCTCGCCGGCCGCCCGGGATGTCAGTTAGCCGCGAGGCAAACAAGGCATTTGCCTTGGGCGTCATTTTTCAGGGGGCGGCAAAAAACGCCGCCCCCCAAATGCCCAGGGCAGATGCCTTGTTAGCCTTGCGGCTAACTGACATCCCGGGCGGCCGGCGAGGGAGCACTTCCCATGAGCTGACTGCTCAGCTCCCTCGCGCACCGCAAAGTGAGGCTGGGAGCCGGAAGATGACGTCATCTTCCGGTTCCCAGCCTCACTCTGCAGCCGACGCGCGAGGGAGCTGAGCAGTCAGCTCATGGGAAGTGCTCCCTCGCCGGCCGCCCACCCGCCCGCCCGCCTGCCAGCGCCGCCCGCCCTGCAGCCACTGGACCACCAGGGAGAGAGACCCCCCCCCCAGCACTCCCAAAGGTAAGGAGGTTGGGGGGGGATTTAAATTAAAAAAAAGTTAATGTGTGTGTGTGTTTGTGTCTGACTGTGTGTGTTTGTGAGTGTGTGTGTGTCTGTGTTTGTGTCTGTGTATGTGTCTGACTGTGTGTGTGTGTGTTTGTGTCTGACTGTTTGTGTCTGTGTATGTGTCTGACTGTGTGTGTGTGTATGTGTCTGTGTGTGTGTGTGTGTGTGTGTGTGTGTGTGTGTGTGTGTGTGTGTGTGTGTGTGTGTGTGTGTGTGTGTGTGTGTGTGTGTTTGTGTGTGTCTGTGTCTGTGTATGTGTCTGACTGTGTGTGTGTGTGTTTGTGTATGTGTCTGACTGTGTGTGTGTGTTTGTGTATGTGTCTGACTGTGTGTGTGTGTGTGTGTGTGTTGTGTATGTGTCTGACTGTGTGTGTGTGTATTTAGAAGGTGGGGCGGGGGGAAGGGTTGGGTGGGGGTGGCGCGGGGGGGAGGGGGGCACCTGAGTTTTGTCCTGCCTAGGGCAGCACAAAACCAGGATACACCACTGCTTATGGGTCTATTTGTTGCTTTTATATAGGTTGTTATGATTTTTATTTGATTGACCTTAATATTTTATTTAACCTTTGATAGCCATTTGTCCAATATATATTGTTGTTTTAGAGAATTTAATATAGTTATACTAATTTCTCTATCCATTTGGATTTGGGATATTAGTTGAGTATTTACTTTATTCCAAGTAGGTTTATTATTAGATTTCCAGTTTTGAGCTATAATTAGTTTTACCGCTATTAACAAATGGGTGAGTAGCAGTTTTTTTGTAAATATGTTTTTATTGGGTATTTTCAATATTTCGATCATGCCATAGGAAAACTTCAGCAAGGACACACAGGTCCCATTTCACTTAGTAATTATCGCGTTGGAATAAAAGAAAATAAAAGAAAATGCTGATCAAGTAGACATACATTGGTGACACGCAGGTCACATTTTAACGCAAGTATCATTTACGTGTTGGACTCGCAGGTCCTATGAGATATAAACAGTGGGTAGTACTTTCACATGGTATATTAAATGACAGTGTGGACACGCAGGTCCCATTTCACCTAGGGTTAATGAACGTGGCAGGAGGTAATGGTCACTTTCGTGTTTCGTTGTCGTTTGCAGGTCTCTCAATGTTAGCTATTATATGGTGGGCCCACTGGTCCCCGAGCCCTTTAGACGTGCTTGTACTACCCTCCAGTGTTTTGTGTAGTTGTCTGTTTACATGTTGGACTCGCAGGTCCCAGAGCTCTTTTAGAGTTGGGCATATGATATTTTCAATGTGTTGTGGGTGGGGTGGGGGCGGGGTGGAGGGGAGAGTGGGGGGGGAATTGAAGGAGGGGGAGGTTTGGGGTGCACAGTACTAGTCACGATTGTCAGGTCCGTCAGGCATGGTCTCTAAGTCTAGTTGAGTGGTAGGGTCTGTCGCTGTAGTGGGGATGTCTATTCCGGTGTCGGGTAATAGGGCTTCATCTCGTCCTCCGTTTGGGCCCGGTAGTTGACGGTTGTAATGTCTGCCCCAGTCACGGAGTTTGTCTGTGAACCCGGCTCCCGCTGTTGTCAGAATCCAGTGTGTCCATGTGTCAAGGTATTGTTGTGTTCTGTCCGTAGATTTCATGTGTATGTCTTCCGTCCCCCTTAGGGCCTCCATTTGTGTGAACCACTTGTCTGGTGTAGGTGCGTCCTTGCTCTTCCAGTGTTGTGGGATGAGCTGTTTTGCTACATTAAGTATCCTAATAGTAACTGATCTTTTGTATCTATTACTTGGTGTGGTAGTGTGATGGAGGAGCATTACAGCGGGGTTAAAGGGGGGTGGCTGGTGCGTGAATATCTTTAGCATCTTATGTATCCCCTGCCAGAAGGGTTGTATCTCTGCGCACTCCCACCAAATGTGTAGGAACATCCCCGGCCCTACATCGCTAAAGCGAGCGCTATGTGGATCCCTAAGTCTGCCTCCTCCACTGTCTTCCACAGTTTATGTACTTTGGATTTTGACCATTCCAAGATTCGTAGGAGGTGGCAAGCAGTGTAATATAAATAGAAATCCGGTAGCGCCATGCCCTCCTTGACTTTCGGTTGTGTGAGTTGTGAGAATTTGAGCCTGGGTCTCCTCCCGTTCCATACATACTCCCCTAATACCTTGCGGAGAGATCTAAAGTACGTTTGGGGGATCCATATGGGCATGGCTTGCATCAAGTACAGAAGCAGAGGGAGAAATTTCATTTTGAGTACCTGGACTCGTCCAAGCCAGGAGACGTGGGGATATGACCAGAAGCTTTCTGTAAATAAGTCTGTGCTTCGTTTGGTAAGCCAAATGCCCAGGTATCTAACTTTGGTATCTGCCCACTGGAAAGCGTAGCTTTGGCGGAGTGGGCCCTCCCTATGCCGAGGCACTGAGACGTTGAGTATGTATGACTTTGCAAAATTTAGATGTTAGATAGTGTGCTGTATTCTCTGAAGGCTTTAATTATGTTCGGGAATGAGTAGCAGTTTTGATGGTTTAGACATAATAGGCCAATTCATATGTAACCAGACCTCTTTAGGTGTTCAATTTAATTCTGTTTCAGATATATTACAAAACCATTCATAAGATTCTAACCATATTTCTTTGACCAGTGCATAATCCCACCATATATGTATATAGGTTCCTTCTTTTTTTATTACATCTACAATATAGATTTAATTGATTAGGGGAGATTTGTGATGACCCAATACCATCTTTTGGCTATTTTGTATTGAATTTCAATTAAATTTAAACAATGAATTATTGAAGATGAATTAGATAATGATGTTATCCATTTTCTTTATCTACCCTTATTCCCAGATCCTTTTCCCATTTAAGCATAGATGGTATTGTTTTTGGAATATCTATATTTGCTACCAGCTCTGATGATTTTAATATTATTTTTTCAATTTTGTATAATTAAATATTTTTTTTAATTTAGAAATTGGAGTTGTATATTATTGGACTAAGTATTTATTTAAAATGTTTTTGACTCTTAACTAGTTAAAGATCTGGGAACTGGGGAGATCGTGTTCTTCCCCAAGTTTTGCAAAAGGTTTAACTTGACCTCGTTCAACAAAATTAAATATAAACACAGTTCATTTTTGTTTCCATAATTTTAAATCTAAATCTTGTGTTGTTAGTTGCAGAATGTCAATTTTTAATGTTATAATTAACTTTGAAGTAATTTTTTTTTTTCTTATGCTTTGATTATTTGACTTAGAATTATACTCTTAAAGGTGCTGGTGCCGTTGTTCTTTCTCACCTTGACTACTGCAATCCCCTCTCAATGGTCTTACGTGTTTCCAGATTGCACCACTGAAATCTATAATGAATGCGGCGGCAAGGCTCATTTTTCTGTACACCCACACCTCCCACGCCTCCCACCTATGTCAGTCCCTACATTGGCTTCCAGTTAGATTTAGGGCTCAATTTAATATTCTGGTGCTTGCTTACAAGTCCTTAAATAATGCTGCTCCAAGTTACCTATCCTCCCTAAGTATGTCCCGTCGAGGCCCCTGTGCTCCGCCGATGACCTACATCTGTCCGTACTCTGTCCATACGCCTACATCTGATGCCCCCCTCCAAGATGTCACATCTTGTTCTGTCCTGGGGAGATGTCTGGCTTTGGCTTCTGGTATCCAGTACACTTTTAACAATTCTTTTTTTGTTTTTCTTGGGTTTTCTGGTTTTCTATTCTATGTCTGGTTTTCTTTATGCTGGGTTAACTGGGTTAATTCCTTTATTCCATTTCCTGGAATTCCCAGTCTCCTGGA